GGGGCAGGGAAAGGGACAGCGGTGGACGCGGAGAGGGACCGAGGCCCGGCGTGCGCGGTGGACAGCTCCACGTCGGCGCTTGCGCCTGAGGACAAACGCCGCTGCCAGGCTCTGTTGCTCTCTCGCCCTCCCTCGTCCGCCTCAGGCCGTGCGCAGCCTCTGGCTCTGAGCCATGCAACTTCTCTCCTTTATAAATCCTCACCCGGGAGAGTCACACAGCGACAGCAGACACTCAGACGGACTCCTGGGCGCACAGCCGCGGCTTGGCTCGTGGGTCCACTCGTCCAGCACACTCGGGCCCTGGGTTCGAGTCCCAGCACGGCAAGCTGTGGAGTTCATCGGGCTTCGACAATGACATGCGTGCTCCGTGCCTGCTCCTCTTCCCTTCCTCCCTTTGTCTTTCTCTCCCGGTTCCCTCCCCTTGTTCCTCCCATCTCGTTTTTCCTCCCTTCCCTCTGTCCTTCCTCCCTGATCTCTTTTCCGTCTCCTCCTCTCTCCGTTCCGTTTTCCTTCCTTGCCTTTTTCTCTCCTTCCGTCCGTGTGTCCTTCCTTCCCCTCTGCCCTCTTTCTTTCCGCCTCCCTCTCTGCCTCCCTCCTTTCCCGTGCTCCTAAGCACGATCCCAGGGCCCGCGGTGCCGGGCAGAGGCCCCATCCGTCCCCCGTGAGGGCCTCGTCCGTCCCGCACCCTCATCGGCTCCCCCGTGACCGCCACGGCACACGTCCGACTTCCAGGCCCGAGTCTCCCACCCAGGGTCTGCCCCGTCTTGGGGTGCAGTAAGAGGAAGCCCAGGGCCCGTGAGGGGACAGCGCACCCCACTGCCCAGCTGGGGCGGGGAGGTCAGGGGGCCGAGGAACGAAAGCTCCGACCGTAGCAAAGGACAGCGGGGCCCCCTTTCCCTACACCTTCAGCACCTCTCGCCCTGGGCCACCGACTCCAGCTCCCCTGGGTCCCCTGCGGCAACGCCCTGGTCGTGACCGCCAGGCGCCAACTCTCTGTCTCCTGCGAGACTTCTGAGACCCGGACCTTCGCTCCTAGGCGGGGGACAAGGCGCCCGCCGGCCTGGTGAGCCCAGCAACGGCCGCTGCCCCCGAGCAAAGGCAGCGGGAGAGAGCAACGGGACAAGGGATCGGCGAGGGGCAGGAGGAGGAGGCGGTGCAGAGCTGACTGCAGACAGGACGGAAAAGACCGAGAGTTTGAATGACTTTTGGAAAAATGCCCGGCGATGCCACCCTGAGCTCCCACTCGGGAGACAGGGCCCATTCAGTGTCCCGGAATCCCGGGGTCGGGAGCAGCAGGGAAAAGGACAGAGTGAAGGACCCCAACCATCCACTCACCCACCTTCTACCCATCCATCCATTCTGTGTGGACTTTCAACCTCCAAAACCGAGGTGGACAAACCTGCATACTTTATACCTCACCCGGCCTCTGCTGTTTCAGTGCCATAACAGAAACCGGACTGATACAAATCCCAAGCTTGAAAGTGTCGCTTTTGCCGTCCCCGGGGCCATGCTAGATTTACAGGCTCATTATCCTCATCGCGTCCTTTATTAGAACCCCCAGCTCTGTGTCTCTCTGTTCCCGACTCCAAGTGTCTCTGTTTCTTCTCATGCGCCCCCCACTGCGACAGCCAGGGTGGTCAGCTGGACCAGTGGTCTCAGAGGGCTAACCAGAATTTCTGTGCCTTTTAGTGATCCAGGAAGTAGAACCACCATCTACACTAACCAGAATGCTCTGCGCCTTCCAGTGACCCAGGAAGTGTAACTAACTACCATCCGTAGCAACCAGAATGCTCTGCGCCTTCCAGTGACCCAGGAAGTGTAACTCCCATGCGTAGTAACCAGAATGCTCTGCGCCTTCCAGTGACCCAGGAAGTGTAACTAACTACCATCCGTAGTAACCAGAATGCTCTGCGCCTTCCAGTGACCCAGGAAGTGTAACTAACTACCATCCGTAGCAACCAGAATGCTCTGCGCCTTCCAGTGACCCAGGAAGTGTAACTAACTACCATCCGTAGTAACCAGAATGCTCTGCGCCTTCCAGTGACCCAGGAAGTGTAACTACCATCCGTAGTAACCAGAATGCTCTGCGCCTTCCAGTGACCCAGGAAGTATAAGTACCATCTTCAGGAACCAGGAAGTCCTATGGAACCTTCCAGTGACCAGGGAATTACAATTACCATCACTTTGATCTGGAAAGTTCTGTAACCTTCCTTCCGGCCGGGGATGTTCAGGATGCACTACCTCACAAATAGGACGACGGGAGTTCAAAATATGCTAAGCCCCAAGCGGGCCACTTTGAGCCGAAACAAGTTGAAAGGCAGCCAAAACAGGAGAAGAGCTGCACTCTTATCTGGTCACATCTGCTTTATCCCCTGTGGGACTTCCGGGAATTTTTTTTTATGCCTAACGGGAAGTGTCAGGGCTCAGCCCCAGGAGGAAGGAGGCTCATGAATGTCAGCCTGTCTTTGTCTCTTTCTCTTTGCACTGAAGAATGCAAATATATGTGCATGAAAAAGTTCTCCTTTGCACACCCTGGTGACTTCATCAATAAACCTGAATTTATTCTTGTAGACTCAGCACCTGTGGACCAGAAGTGGGACGTTTAGTTCCCTCCCAGAAACATCCTTTGATCCGACTCGGTGTCCTACATCTCCATTAAAGCTCTGGCAGGAGTCAGAGTGAGCTCCAGACCCCGTCCCAGGTTCAAGGTCAGGCGGACCCCATCATCCCCAGAGCTGGCTTCACTCGGATGAGGATCAGAGGTTCCGAAGACCTTCTCCTCCACTGACACCATGGCCCCAAGTGGCTCACGGAAATTGGGAAAACGGCCTGCTTGCTGTGGGTGATTTATGGCAAAGGATATTTGAAAGGAACAAGAGGTGCCCAGGGCAAAGTCTGGAAGATAGCCAGGCCCGGAGCTCCTGTCTCCACGGAGCGGTGGGCACCCGTTTCCTGACACCTGGGTCTGCTTACCCTCTCAGAATCTTAGAATTGTTTTGTTTTGTTTTGTTTTTATGGCAGCTTCATGACAATGCATGTGGCAAATTATTAAGTCAGTCTCCAGCCCCAAACCCTCCGTGGGGGGCGGTGGAAGGGGCTGGACGTTCCCAGCTTCGTCTTGCTGTGTGGTTTGGGCTCCCTGGTTTGAGGAGCCCTACCCAGAGACCAAAGGAAGTCGTCCCTCTGGGAATCACAAAGCCCCCACCGGCCGCACCCCAGGGACGGGGAGCAGCACCCAAGGCAGGGGAGACCTCCTGAGAAACATCTGCTGAGGTGACTCCTGGTTGGAACCCAGGCCACAAGACACAGACGAAATGACCAGGCCTGCAACCTTCCTCAAAGACAAACGCGAGTCTTGATAAAGTCCAGACGGACAGCAGCCACCCAGCGGGTGGCCGAGACCTCCGGAGCCATTGTTGCCTAGAAAATGCCTTTGCTCTTTCCACGCACCCTTGTTACACGATTTGTTTCCTCGCTGGATCACGACTCCCTCAGCGACTACCTCGCGACTTCATGAGTTGATCCTACGCGTAAGCCGCATTGTACCTCAGTGGGGTTTGCTCTATCCAGTTTCCCTGTAGAGCGGAGTCCCCTCCTGCCCCTGTAGAGCTCCCCTCTTGATAAATATCTTCCTACTCCTAACCTCCCTCGTTCCTAGGGTTCACTCTTTGATGTTTAGGGAACAGGAACTGGGCGTATCACACATCTAACCGGTTGGGAGAAAGGACGGGGCCGTCTCAAAAACCCAGCTTGTGACCTGGTTCAAGGTTTCTCCCACCTGCCTGATCCTGAGCACGGCCAGGTTTAGTCCAAAGAGACAGACGCCTTCCTCTGCTTCGGGGGGGAGGTCAAGAGTCGGGAGCTGGGCACAGGGCAGTCTGCTGTCCACAGTGGTCAGCGGCCTAGAATACAAGGCACAGTCACAAAACACGGCGAGTGGTTAACGTTTTAAACAACGTTACACAGGAAGAGGTGCATGGCCACGAATCCCCTCAGAACCCCCGGCTGCGCACAGCCTCCTCCCGCCGTCCGGCCGCGTCCCGCAGCAGCTCTGAGTCCTCTCTCCCCAGGGTCTTCAGCTGCGCCGTCCCGGCCGCCTCGAGGTCCCCAGTGGACCCCAAACGGTGACCTTTCCCGTCCTCCCGACC